TAAACGCCACAGAGAGTGGTGAGTTCACTCACTTTCTTCATCAATCCGAGCCTTCTCTTCTTGAAACTGGCTTTTCTTGCATTGTCGCTTGCAATCCACACGAGCTTCACCTTCTTCCTCGTCATTTTGATGTCTCTCTATCCTTCTCTCTTCCTCTTTGCTTGTTTGTTTGTTCTTAGCTCTGAATTGGAGGTGCAGCAATGGAGTCTATTTATAGGGCTGGGGAGGGAGGAGGAGGAGGAGATTAACTTCTTACTTTTTTGTTTTTGTTTTTGTTTTAAATCTCTTGGGAAATGAATTACTAGGGGCATTTTTGTCATCTAGTAAATTGTGATTTTAAAAAAAATTAAAAACAATTTATAATCGTAACAACCGACCTCTGAAACATGACCCGACTCAGAAACGGTTAGCACATGCACGCTCAAAAAGTTTTCAAAATTTTATCAAATAATAAAAATAAATAAATAAATAAATAAATAATAGTATTCAAAGTATATTTTTATTTTTAAAAAATTAAAAAATTGATGCACCAATGACAAGCAGTTACTTGAATTTGTAACTCTGGTATGGGGATTCTACCCTCACGTGACTAACATGAGAGTCCTTGACATGTAATTTCGATCATACATACATCATCATTATTAAAATTATATATAAAAATACAATAATGAGCTCATCCATGTATGTGCTCTCCTATACATTAAAATTTTGCCCAATTTATCCCTATATGGTTTTAACCGTATCTTCCAACTCCTTCTCCTTTCACTTAATATCAATTTAGTTCAATGCAAAAATCTTGCTATTGTATACTTACTCACCCCTTCCCCCCTCCTGCATTATTAAAATACACAAAAATTAAACTCAATCTAACTCAACCGGCCACTGAAGTTGCTAGGCTCAATGGAAGCACGGTCGGGAGCAACAACGAGAGTGAGGGAGAGAGAAAAAGAAAGAAGAAACTCGACTGGGAGAGAGTACTCGCCGATGGTCTACAACGACGATACACCCACGGTCTTGATCTTATTAGGGACGTTAGATCTCATCCCCATTGCTGAGGACTGCTGCTGCATTCAATGAAAGAAGATGACTATTAGGCGAGAGGGCATGATGGGCGGTCAGTATTGATGAGAGAGATTGATGACGGCTCGACTAGTTAATTATGAATTTTAATTTATTTATTTCCCGACTTAAATAATGAAGCTCTACTCTTCCATCCACCCAAGAAAAACTTGTTTTATTTGAAATATTCAAATTAATAAATGTATTTATTCATAAAATTATCAACTTTTTGCTTCCGTCAAAACTAAATTACAAATTAATGTGTTAATAAGTCCAATCACGTAACTTGATATCATAAACAACATGCCTCAACCAACTATTGAGATACATACGTGGACTCTGTCCAAGATTCGAAATTTGAATTAGACACATGATAGCCTTGATATTCTCCTACATCCCTTACGACATAGTCACGTTACTTATTATTTGCTTCTTAAAAGTGAAAACTATTTCCACAGACCAACACGAGTCTTTCTAGCATATTTTATTCTTACTCACATGCATATATCATAAGAGGAGACTTAGAAGCAGTTGGTGGCGATGAAAACGCATTTATAGCATTCAATTGGTTGATGTTAGAATCATATCTGGACCTATAAAAACATAGTTTGTTTCTGTGCTTTTATTTAATTCGTCACAATCTCATCATCTTTTATATTTTCTTTTTCCCAAAGTAAAAAATAAAAATGAATTTTAATTACTATGCTTTACAAAGGTTAAAAGTTAATAAATATAAATAAATATATATATTTTAAAATTAGAAGTAATTTTGGTTACTTCAGTCTCATTGGATAATCATTTATTTATTTTTTAAAAAAAATTATATTCTTAAAAAAATAATAATTTTTTTTTTTAAAGATTTAAAATTTTAAAATTATTATATAGATTTAATTTTGAAGAACAAAAAAGTACAAACTAAATGGTTAATAAACTAAAAAAGAATAGTGATTATCAAACTTTCAAATTTATTCTATTTTAGATTTAATTTTTAAAATATCTCAAAAAAATTAAATTTATGCGTTCTATTTTAGGTCTAATTTAAATATTTTAATTTTTGTTATTAAATAATGAAACCATTATTAGTTGATTAATTAATAATGTCACCTACGTTTAAACTAATAAATAGTTTAGATACTAAGAAGGGGTATTTTTCAAATTTAAAGAACAACCAGGTTTTTCTTTTTCTTTTTAATTTAATATAATTATTTTTTAAAACGAACAATCTGGAATTTAAAATAGAAAAAAAAAAAGAAAAATCCGAGGTAGATAATTATATGAGGATGATAATGCAAGAGTTGAAATTAGAAAGTTTATTAATTGTGTTTTGATATTATATGGAAACTATATAATATGGAGTGAATGGATAAAGAAGGTACAAAAATGTATTTCTAATAATCATTGTTGGACTTATAATATTTTATAATAATCTACATATTTATTTTTATTATATGTTACAAAGTGAAATTAGATCACCAAATAGGAGAGAGAAGGAAACTTGGGCCCAGGCCCAAATTCTGTAGTCGGCCTTTTATGAGACACACGTCCAACATGCCAACCCAATTTCAGTTATTTTTTGTCCTATTCTAAAAACAAAAAATTAGAAAAATGCTAATTGAAAAAGCTGTTTTTTTTTTTTTTGGGATTTTTCTTTATGATTTGCTTTTAATGTTTTTAAAATGGTCTTATAAATAAGAGTTTCCACATCCTTATAAATAATGCTTATGTTATTTTCCATTCAAACCAACTTTATGGTTGCTGTTACGTGAAGATTGGATACAGTATTTTGACAATAACGAGTAGTATTGTTAGTGGGAAATAAAAACTTGCTAGAAAGATATGTTATATTGTAAAACTCTTTCATCGAAGACTCGAGTTTCCATAAAAAATAACCTAAAACGAATGTTTGATTTTTGGAGAATATGAGAAAATAATTGGGCCTAAATTAAATTAAATTAAATGAGTTGTTTTTCCTGTCATAAGCCCAAAAATTAATATTTCTAAATTAAAAAATTTGTAGTTTTTATTTATTATGATATATATGAAAATTTTAGGGGTAAATTTGATGAGGGTAAGAGTAAATTAAAATAAAAAGAGCTAGAAATGGAAACAAATCTCATCCTAATTAGTTTCCAAATATAAACTTAGGAGCTCGCTTAAATTCGGGGGAAGTTTCACTTCAAAAATGTTAGGTCAGCATGAATGCACGATTACGACTTAAAAGAGATAGGTTCAACTCTTTGAAGCCATTATAACGGCCCCTAAATTTAAGGCATGTGTGAGTTAGGTGGATTTTTTTTGAAATATGAATAAAAAAAAAAAAAATGTCGTGAGATATTCATCAAAATTTGAATTTTAATGCGTTGAAAATGTGTAGCAATTTAAGAGGGGATTAATGAATTTATTTATTTATATATTTAATTGAAAAATAAAGAAAATTTCATTAAAAAAAGGTCAAAAGGGAGATAATATTCCATTAGAGTTATTACATGGACGCCACGTGTTGATTTATTCGGTTCTCAAGTAACTGTACAACCAAAACTCTTACCATATATGGGTAATAATAGAATCAGATGAGTTGTATTTGTACTTTTATTTATATTATTGTTATGAATTTATTTAAATTTAAAATATCTCATATCAAATTCTAACTTTTAGATTATATATATATATATATATATATATAAAATCTCAAAGAGGAGAATTACGTCCGCATGCATATGAAGTTTCAATTTGTGACGTGGCATCCATGAAGTTTGTTTTTTTTTTCTTTTTCTTTTTCCATTGAATTTTCTCTCTTTTTATTTATTTTTATTTTTTTCAACTCCAATTTTTTTTTATACAACTTATATTAATATTTTTATACATTTTAGGTTAACCTAATAAATAAATAAATAAATAAATATATATATATATATATACACATATATTTATTTTCTATTTTCTATTTTTGGTTTTTAATTTTCGGTCGAAAACTAAACCAATTTAATTTTAAAGTTTATATGATTGAGTTATTAAAATGAAACCCACACTTTTTAATTTCTCATTGGATGCTTAATCTTAATCCTTAAACCCTCTCCGTCTCCGTCTCCGTCTCCGTCTCCGTCTCCCTCTCCCTTGATTATATCCCGATTAAAAAAAATTAGATATTTGAATTTTTATTATATTGAATTAAATATATATTGTAATCTCCAATACACAATTTTACTTCGGTGGATTTTTTTGTAAAATTTTTAGAATAAGTACATTATATAAAATAGAAAATAATGATCAGGCTTAAATCTATACATTCAACAATAAAATAGAACAAGAATCAAATTATTATTATTATGTTGTACTTAATACATAAGTTATTTAATGAGTGCTATGAATCAATTATTTGTCTAAATCATCACTTGAATTAAAAACGTCATGATTACCAACATGTCTATCAAACAAAATAAGAAAAAAAAAAAAATGTAGTCAATGGCATTATTTCTTAAAAAATTAATAATATAGATTCCCAAACAATATTAAAATAGTTATATATATAACTAGAGAATTGGTGTCAACTCTATGATGGAGCTTGGAATAATGTAAGGCATCATTTAAAGTAGTAAATTAGTGAATTAAATGCAATAAAATAAGAGGAAAAAAATGATGATATTTTTATTTTTAATATTAAAACTGTTGTTGATTGAGAGATGGTGAGGCAAAGAGGATGAGAGATAGAAGAGTATTGAGTTGAATTAAGGGGTGTGATTTGAGTAATTAAGCAAACCAATCATTCACTAAGCTAAGTTTGAGTAGTTAATTTGTATTTTTTTTTTTTTTAATTTTTTTTTTTTTTTATGTAAATCTAAACCCATTGGATTTAGCAAATTTAAGAAACAGAATTGGGGAATTGAAATTCAGAGACTGGATGAATGGATCATTGGTTAGTGGGTTTTTGTTATTTTTCACTCTCTCTCTCTCTCTCTCTCTGTTAGTGGTTGGTTTGCTTGAAATGGACCAACGGCGCTCCTCCTATCTATCTAATGGGGTTACTCTATCTGTATCCACCACCTGCGATTTCTTCTTCCTCTTCCTCTTCTTCTTCTTGTGAGTACTCTGTTTTCACCTTCTGTCTCTGCTCTGCTTTCTTCTTCCTTCATTTCTTCTTTTTTGGGTTTTCTTTTTCATCTAGGTTTGTGTAATCCTCAATATTGCTTTGTTCAATCGCCTTGTTCTTTTGTTTTTTCCTTTGTTGCTCTGTTTTTATCTGTTTCTCTGTGCTCTGTTCTTCTGTTTTTGATTGTTTAGTGATTGAAGGAAGTTCATGTGTGTGTTTTTTCCCCTTTTCTTTTTGGCCCTTTTAGATTTAGTTTCATCTGTTGATTGTAGGAACTCCTGTATTTTGATTTTGGTGATTGGACTGTTGGAAAATGGCACCACAAACTGGGTATTTGAAAGAACATGAAGGGATTGTTCCTAACTCCCTTGGCCAGTTATCATCTTCCCCTACTCGTCTGTGGAGTGCTGCCTTTGGGCTAGGTTCCCACTCAATTTTTGGGGATTTTGGTCAGGTGAAGGAACAACTTGACAGTAATGGGAAGGAATTTGCTGCCACTAAACAAACCGGTCATGGTCTGGAAAAACTGAACACTGCTCCATTTTCCATCTATCCAGGTAACTTTTTGTTCATTCGGTTCATTTTCATTTCCATGATCATATTTAAGCTTGCCAAAAAGCATGAAAATAATTAAGAGTTGCTTATAAATGGTGGATTTACAAATTTTCGAGTGACTCAATATCACAAGCATATCTCTAGGCTACTCAAAAGTCGATTAAGAGGTGGCTAGGGAATGGTTTATTCAAAATGAATAGCATAGGTAGGTTGAGGAAGAAGCTGGATACTTCTAATCTGACATGTAGCAAACATATGCTCTGTGGTACTTACTACTATTCAAAATGCGATAGGCCATGGATAACAAATGTTTGTAAGAGGAAACAAGTTAGGGGAGGAGGGACCTAGATTGTTTGTGCTGATCAGCTCGACTTATAGCTTAGTAACGTGACGTTGGGGGACTGGAGAAGTCGAGAGGGAAAGTGTATCACGACGGTATGCTTTCAGTGTTTTGAGTTTCCTTAGGCTGGGAGGGTAGGGAGCTCTTTGAACATCTCCAAGCTTGTGGCCTCATTGTGGATAATGGATATTAAGCTCTATTCAAGACTAACCTCTAATAAGTTTCCAACTTCAATATGGACTCTACTACTACTGAAATAACATGCATCCCAGGTCACCATATAGACTTGACAGTAGAGTGCAATCTTCTTGAGCAATTTATGTCCCAATCATCTACTGTTGAAGTACACCCTGTGTAACACAGAAGCTGCACTCTGCCGGTTGACCCTCTACCCAAAGGCAACTATCCCTTTTCTTTGTATGCTTAACTACACCCCTTTGTTCTACAGAAGTTCGTGCTTGCTTATCCCGGCTAGAGTATGCTTTTCCTTTGTGTATTTTAGTCTTAAAACTGGATCTCCCATTTTCCTCAACTAATATTTCTACCATCCCTTCAGAATATTATTTTCTAGCCAATACTTCATCAAGGATTTAGCTAAAATCTCAATGTTTATGAAACAAGAGGGAAAGAAAGTAGCATGAAACTCAAGGAAGACTATTACCTTTTTCTCTTTTTGTGCTGGCTGAGTTAAAATGTCAATCATAATGGTGAGCTTGTTATCCGATGAGAAAACTCCTCTTGAAACATCCATGCAGGTGACACTAAGAATTCTGTGGGGGCACAAAAACCTTCACCAGTTTTTTCCCTGTCAGAATATCACAATCATTTCGAGCTCGGATTCGGCCAGCCCCTGGTAGGATATAAAATGTTAATTGAATTTCCCCCCTAAAACAGTGCTTTATACATGTATATGTTACTGATTATGAAGACGAAAAATGTAGATATGTGAAAATTATCCTTACATGGAACAGCATTATGGCATCCTCTCAGCTTATGGACCTCAAATACCAGTATGTTTCCTTCCATTCTTCAACCACTTCCTTTTTACATTCTTTTTTCCTTATATGTATTCAATGTGAATTGTCTTAAATTCATAGATATTTTCCAACAAAAAAAGAGTTAGATAGCTGCATAGGCAGAGCTATGTATGCAAAAAAATCAAAATGGGGAGTGGAAAACAATACAATATAGCCAAAAACCAGAAATGGTGCGAAGGAGATGACACATTTAGGCCTCCTAGATGAATGCTGCCAAAAAAATTAATAGGAAACACAACTCAATGTTTCATGTAATGAAGTATGGTAGAGAAGTAATTTTCTTTGAACAATATATTTGTTGATTAGGTTCTGCTATTCATTGTAAGCTATCTGGAAAAGGTCAGTCTGCCTAATCTATGAGCAAAAACTTAACCATTTGCAATAATTAGGGTCGGGTTATGCTGCCAATGAGATTAACAACAGATGATGAACCAATTTATGTGAATGCAAAGCAATATCATGGAATCATTAGGCGCAGACAGATCCGTGCCAAGGCAATGATGAAGAATCGACCTGCAAGAACTCGAAAGGTATGTAAGTATAAGTCTTACAGAGGTGTCTGTCCTAGCTTTTGAACACTTCAATATGATATACTATCCAGCATCATGTTCATTCTGTTGTCTGAACGAACTGTTATTGTGATTTATATGCCTCGATTATATCCTTCAGTCCAAATACTTTTCTTTGTCCTGTGCAGAACTAGTATCCACATTATTTCTGCTGATATAGATTGCATATCTGTCTTACAGCCATATATACATGAATCACGTCATCTCCACGCAATGCGCCGTCCACGGGGATCCGGTGGCCGTTTCCTGAACATGAAGAATCAGCCAAATGAGAAGAGTTCTATGGTACCAAAGAAAGTTGACGATGTCAATCTTTCTGATTTAACTGGTTCTCAATGTTCTGAGGTTCTGCAATCAGAAAGTGGAACTTTGAACTCCCAAAATGAAGCCAAGGAGGGGAGGGGCTTTAATCTCTTGAGTTCTGAGGTATCGAGCATGTTCTCGAGGGGACTGCAATGTTTTCAAATCAACCATATTGGACCATCAATGCAGTCACTGGCAGAGATCATTGATGGAGGAGGGCATGGCATGGTTCTCCCCAAATGGGTTGCAGCAGCTGAAAACTGCTGTGACCTTTGTTTTTGACCGGTAAGGCAATGGGTTCTTGGTGCAAGTCACTGCACCAAGACCCTGTCTTTGTTGCGACCAAATCCAGCTTGCTTCAATGTTGTCGTTGATGGCAATTGTTTCAGGCTTCGCGAAGAGGATAGTCCCCGCGTTTGGTTGCAATGGCAAGTCATTTTTGGCTCTAATCATAAGCTCTATATGATGATTCTTATCTCTCTGTTCTGCATCTCATAATGAGAGGTAGCTGAGAGAAGCAAAAGATTCATCCAAACCGATATCCAGTATGAAGTTATTGCAGTAAACAAAAGGGTTTGTTTGAAGAATAAGAGCATCAAAAGTATAAATTCTGCACTCTGTATGTGACCCTCAATGTAGAAATTCATAAGAAGAATGTCTATGAAGTCTAGTGTTTGGTTGTTTAAAGTCAGAAATTCATAAGCAATTGGTACTGAACAAAGATGCTTGGCTTGTGGGTTTGTATAAAGATAACTGTGATGTTTGCTTTTGGTTTATGTAATAAACTACATTATCTTTGTAACATAATCCATGCTTTTTTTTATCCCTTCGAATTTCTTACTCTCATGGCTCAAACCCAAATGATATGTAATCACTACCAGGGGAGTATGATTCGGATTACCTTGTTGATTGAATATTTCAAGGCAAGAATACTTGTTTGAGATTCGAATCACTTCACAAGCAAGATCGATCATGTCTAGCTTGAATGATTCTTGTTGATAAAAAATATCCAGGAACAGTTGTTTGAGATTCGAATCACTCCATAAGCAAAATTCATCATGTCGAACTTGAATGATTATACATGCAACCTTTACTACATAGAATTGCAAAGAAACTTAGTCATTGGTTAAAGAGAGCACAAATGCTCTTTTTACTACATTTTTTAAGTCTATCTTACAAAGATAACATAGATGACATTATATAACCACAAAATGAAAACTCTTAACCTTCCATGAGGCTTTCCAAAAGTTGTAACTTTCACAAAGAAACATCAATTCTAAATTACTCTAAATTATGATCCACCCAAAATTTATAACAATGAAGCTTCATTTTTCTTAAATGTGGAAGTATATTGTATGATTGATATCTCTTGGTTCATATTGAAGAGATTTCCACACCTTTATAAAGAATGTTTCCTTCTCCTCCCAACCAAAGTGGGATCTCAAACTTACCTAATCGTAGAAGAGTTCAAAAATAGTATTCAAAGAGATTGAGAATTGAAATTAAACCTGAATGATGATAGATTTTATCAACCACCCTAAGTTGGATTGGTACTAATACATCAACACAGAACGAACATTCACAATCTACCAATAGAGCTCAACAAATCAAGAACCCGGAAATGGGGGATAATCCTAATAGGGATTAAAAAAACAACATAAAGAAAGACTCACAATGATTCGCTCAACCCCAGCACTCCAAGCCGTGCTTAATACAGCGGCTATGTGAGCTGCGTGGTAATGCTTCCCATGGCAAATTCCTTTAATTAAACATACCATCTGCATTAAAACACAATAATCTCATTCCAGAAAAGCAGAAGGACAGTGTAAACAATCGAATGAAATGGAGGCCTCACCTGTAAAATTGAGCGCAATATGTGCGAGAAGGGATTGATAGAAAGGTCGGAAGGAGTTAATTGCAGGTGGATTGAGTAAGAAAGGAAAACGAAATGGTGTTTGGGAGGGAAGAAAGTGGGTTAGGTATGATTCGCAGTGTTCCCATGGCGGAGGAAAGCGAGGGAAGAACTAGAAAGACTCGCTTTCATTGAAGCTGCTTCAGATTTGTTCGAATTGATAAGGAGAGATGGAGATGACCTCCAATCCAATAAATATGACATTTGTTGATTATTTATACCCTAAACAAATACTCAAAGATACTTCTTTTTATAAATATTTTTATTAATTTTGCCTTATTTATATTTAGTTTTTTTTAATTAAATAAATATCCTTTTAAACTAAATAATTATTAGCTCGATTTGAATATACAGACTCCCTCGTGGCTTGTGCACAAGTTATTCATTGGTAACGAGGTATTTGAGTGCCAAAATGACCAAAGCTCGATAATCGACATACCCTCTCGATCAAGAGGTTAAAGGTTCAAAAGACCTCAAGCATTTTTGCATACTCGGAGATAGAGAACACGATACATATTAGCTTCAAAAGACCTCACACCTCTTACACAAGCTTCAAAAGACATCAAGCATTTTCGCGTACTAGCTTTTCACTCAAAGACCCAAACCTAATACATTAAACATCAGCCTCCTACTACTGTGTTTTGCCTACTTTATTTTATAATTTTTAGCTCGTAGTACCTTGAACTCTTAATCTTTTGTTCGAGAATATAATATTTTGATATGTTTGACTAGACCGAAGTCGGTCACTTTATTCGGAGATAGAGAACACGATAGATAGACTAATTTACTCCGAAATATAAAATTTATTACACAAAAGAATCTAAGCTCCAATGGGTTATACAACAGAGTCTAATCCAAAAGAACCATTCACCTGCTAATTCAATGACATCAAGGCCTCAATGTTTCATCAAACAACCTATACTCCATCTAACAAAAAAAATGATACAAAACGAGGTAATATGGGCAGTAACATACAGACGAACGGTGCGAGGGCTCGATCGTGAGTTTTTCGGTAGAAGACTACTCGTCAAACATCGTACAAAAGAGGCAGGCCTCAGGGGGTTGGAGGAGTTGGGGCTGAGGGGGTTGGAGTTGAGGGGGCTGGAGTAGAGCCACTACTATTACCACCATTCCAAGTCCAAGGCCGCAGGCTGAGGATAATAATCAAGGCAACGATCAGCAAAATGATAATGCCAATAATCGTCCATTTACGAGTGCTTTTCTGGTATACTCTTGCTTTTGACAACTCCTGTGTGCCACCACGAACAAAAGAATGAGCTCTGTTCACATGGCTCTCGATGTCGTCGAGTTTTTCGCCTTGTTCGTGTACCAAGACCGCCATGTCCATGAAAACCTGGTGCAGCTCCTTCAGATTCCTTTCCAGGTCTTTCACTGCATCATGCCTCTCCTGGATCTCGCTAATGGTGTCTAAGATTCTTCCTCTTCCTTGTTCTTGAATGGCTTTCTGCAAGAATGTCTCGCTTTCCCCTGCATAGTTGGAGATATCTCATCATGTTAGTTCAAGCTCATTTTTATTCAATTCTCAACCATCTTGTCGAGGGAGATCTATGTAGCCCTCGAACAGCTTCTCCTTAATCGAGGCTCGACTCCTTTCTCAGGAGCCCTCGAATAAAGTACACCCTCTATTCGACACATGGGTCCCTTTTGACTACACCTTCCAGACTAGCAATTTCTTTGTTCGACACTTCAGAATTCTATTGACATGGCTAAATTAAGGAAATGACTCTGTTACCGTATTAGGAATCACAGACTTACACAATGGTATGATATTGTCCACTTTGAGCATAAGCTCTCGTGGTTTTGCCCAAAAGGCCTCATGTCGAGATGTATTCCTTACTTATAAACCCATGATCATTCACTAAATTAGCCAACTCCCTTCTAACAGTTTTCAACCCACCGTTTTCAACCCACGAGCCAAAATTGATAAACAGAGTGAATTTGAGTTATCTCACCTGTAGATATCAAGATATCAATGGTTTTCTCATCCGGATTTTCACCAGTAACAGTGAAATACCTTCGCTGCACGGTCTCCCTGTACTCAGAAGAGATTTGTTGCCTCAAATTATTGAACCCCTCCATCGAATCCTGCAATTTCTTCCTCAACCCACTGAGCACAGAAGTACGAGTCCTGTCAGAGGACGATCCAGGGCCGCAGCCAGGTTGGGTCCGATTGGAGGCATTGGAGCGATCAAGCGCCTCCAATCGGACCTTAATGAGCTTAGCCTTCTTGAGAGCAAGGGAAACATCAGAATCCATGCGAGATCGGAGGTCCTTAACAGCCTTAGCATTGTGAAGCGTCTTACTCTGTTCATGGGAGTCGTGGAGGTTCTGGTAGAGTTTCTCAAGCTCCTTGAGGTCGTCTTTCACAGATTCAACGTCTTCAAAGAACTTGTCGAGATTAGCAGCCGTAGGGGAAGAGGAGGAGATACCCATCTCAACGACATGGCTGTCGCGAGAGAAAGAGCGAGTGGAGAACAAATCGTTCATTGACCCTTTGATGTTCTTCAGGTAAAGTAGCGAAATCCGACAAGAAGAAGGGGGAATTGGATGAAGAAACAGGGGAATTGAAGAACGAACAGAGAAGAAGGGTTGATGGGTTATATGAGAAAAGTGGGAATCCAGGTCAAGTGGGTCATAAATGGAGGGAGAAGAAGAGTCAAAGGGGAGGGGCGGAGGGGGTGAGATAGGTGTAGAAGAAACGGAAGAAAGGAAGCTCCATGGAAAGGATGGTGATGGTTGGAATTTGAATGAGTCCCATACAAAAGGAAACCTACTTTTCAAATTCTTCTTTTCAGATATATATTAAATACAAGTATTATATTTGAAATGTCAATTTTAGGGAAATGTTTTCTTTTGGATTACGCCGTGCTTGTAGGTGTTAGGGAAGATTTGAAAATTTGGATATCAAAAGCATGTATTTAACTCTTTATATAAATTTAGAAGCTTCCCAATTCCTATGGTTGTCGTATCTTGACGTCATTCCATGTCATGGGACATCGTCGACTGTCTTAGCTTACTCGGTCATGTCATCGAGAATGGACCCACGTGTCGTTTATCTTATCGGGACATCCTATACATCCCTCCATCTAGGTTCTATTAAGGCATTGACACTCCTATGCTCATGCTATGTCATTTACGAATACCGTCACGGACAATGGGTGTATATATCAACCTTCGATATGCGGGCTGAGGTGCAATGCCAGCACACCTGTGCCACCCAATACTGTCCTTGAAAAACCCATTTCAAAACAAGTCACCCGAGACACTTGTCTTGACACGCTCACCCTCGCTATGATACACAAAAAACTCATTTCAAAGGAAGTCATCCGAGACACTCGTCTTGACATGCTCGCCCTTGCTATGACACACACATTGTTAATAAGGTAGCTCACTTAGACCACATAACCTAAAGGTGGTGGAGAGTTGACACCATATGACCATTCACCAAAATCATGTCTCTATGAAATATTATTGAATGTCTTAAAATGTGAAAAAATAGATTAGTTATAGTAGTCGAAAGTAGAATTATCATTTCAATTATTTTTCAGTCATATTTAATTTAGAATTTATTATAAGATAATTATTTAAAATTTATTATAAGATAATTATTCAAAAAGTTATATAGTTTAAATTACATCAACCTAAATTATTTGATATAAGTTTATAGTATAAAAATTGAATGAACAATTGATATAAGAGAATAAAATGTGAAAATTTTGTGATAACTCTATCTTAAATTCTCTCATAAAATTAAAAAAAAAAATTAAATAATTATCAAACGAAAAAGAATTTCATTTTTTTAATTTTTTTTTATATATCTCTATCATAGTTAGTCCAAGATATTGGCATGAAGCAATATTGAAATTGCTACTTTCAAAAAATAATAAAAATAACGATTTT